TTTTGGGCAGTGTTTCCGACGGTGCTCGCTCGATCGTAAAATGTCGCTTTGTTGCTATTTTGGCGAATCAAACAAGGAAGCCACGTTCACCTACAATGCCCTGTCCACAAGAAAGGAAATCGAAATTTTCGCTTCGTTTTCTTTTTTTTTATATTCTTCTCTTCTGCACGATATAGGGTATGAATTATTAGGCTGTAGGACAATTCGTCGAAAGACAATTCGTAGCAGGGCAACTCGTAGCAGGGCAAGTCGTCGCATAGGGCAATTCGTAATAGGGCAATTCGTCCAGATGACGATTCGTCACTCTAATAAAAGCTTCTTGTGGGTTTAATTTTCACAGTTTATCAAGTATATTACTTCAAAATTATTAATTACGAACGAAGGCTCTCCCTCATTCGGTATTTGGATTTTTAGCATAATGTTTAAGTTTTGGCTTAAATGCTCTACTTTCGCAGTAGACGCTGTCTACTTCTGTGGGTATGCGCCACAGCCGAGTTAGAAATATGTTTCAGTAATTTTGATAGGACAACCACACGGGTGTCAGTTCACGAAAAAAGTTTTATTTGCATAGAGGTCTGGGGTAGAAGAGAGGCCCGGCGAACACGCAGCCTCCCGTGCACTGTTAAGGGCGAATTGAGTATAGGAACCGTACAAAGAATCGTGAACTATCCTAACAGGATACAACACAGCACGCATGTTTAGAAGAAAAGCTTCCGAGCTTTCCGAAACTCCGAAAGAACGCGGACAACAAGGCGGTGTTCGAACTTTTCTTGGAAGGCTTCTGAACTTTATATTTTATACATGCACGTCCCCCCCCCCTTTTTTTTTTCTTCCCAAATTCCTCTAAACTTTCCTAAAAGAATATAAACTAGAAAAAGAAAACCCAGTTTTCGACTAGATGCCCTAGCGACGAATAGCCCTATGACGAATTGCCCTACGCGACTAATTACCCTGCTACGAATTGCCCTGTTACGAATTGCCTTTCGACGAACGGCCCGATAAACGAGTCACCCTATGACAAAGATGGGGGTCCCGAAAATCTCCTAAAATCGTGTTTGTTCTCAGAGACACATCCGTGTGTAAGAAAAACCGCGGCCCTCTCCACGAAGTACGGACATATTTGATAAATAGCGTTGACTTGAGGTTGAACTTTTCACTTGCTTTGTAAACACAAGTGTGACGTCACGTGCGCATCCCACGCGACCCGACTGAAGTCTGAACTGGTGTACTATGTGTGGACAATAGGGCATTATTTTGACTTCCCGGCCGCGACGACCTTGGCGAGATAGGACAGATGGGGGTCCCGAAAATCCTAGAATCGTGGTTTGTTCGCAGGGACACACACATCCGTGTGTAACAAAAAACGCGGCCCTCTCCACGAAGCTTACACAGGCATTGTTGTGTGACTACTGAAGATGCCTCCCGCAAGGGAGGCGAAACTGGTCAGAACTTCAGCTTGGGCGAGTTGGTTATTCACGATTCATGGAGGCGTTTATTCATGGAGGCGTTTATTCATGGAGGCGAAACGTCTAGTGAAATTGTTTTTTCCTGTTCTGTGAAGTCGGTGCTTTTATTTTAATTATGTTACCAGTCGGCCTGTGTGAACAGTGCTCATTTGAAGAATCGCCTTTGTCTTTTTTGAACCCTAACAAAAACACCCTCATAACATTTTTTTTTACTGTTCGGCTACGTTGGCGTAGCCTATAATCGACATAATTTTTGCGAAAGCCTACTTTTATTTTATAATTATCTGTAACCATTTCTAATTGAAGAAGTGACAAGTATAATAATTATATTATGATTTCATATCAAAATTCGACGAACCGGGAGATGCGAAATTCGGTGAAACAGCTTTTCAAAAAAATATCCGGTGCCCGAAACTTGCTTATATTAAAATGTCTAACATGTGTATGTGTTCTAATACAGAAGATGAGTGCAATGTGGAAACTGAATGGCCTCACAAACAATTGTCAACGAGTTGGAATTTTCGATGAATTACCCTTTGTCGAGTCATCCTACTACCGATTGGCCTCTTCAATCAATTGCCCGTCGACAAATATTGTTGTTGGTTTATTTGCCATCTGCTGTAAGGGGAGAGTGTGGGGCTCGTCAAGCCGACATCTGCCAGCATTTTCATCACGCCTCCAGCGCCTGTACCGACTGACGCAAATAAATACCCACGGACTATACTATAGCCGCTAAATATCTCTACGCGAACATGATTTGTTTTCAAAGGGGCACCCGCCGTGCTTCTTTGAATTATACATACGTCACGGTCAAAACGTTCCGCAGCTAATGAGTGAAGGCCGACCAACCTATTTTGTCCAAATGTCCGTGTATGGGAGATGAGAATGCCACTGCGTCAAAGGCAAGACGTGTGCGAGCGTCGCTAAAAATAGAGACCACTATCGATGTTTTAGTATACATGGTTTCATTCTTAGTCAGAGCGCAAACAGAGGTTAGATGTCACGAAAACACATACACAAAGACAAAAAACACTTTATCACGGCGCATTGTATGAGTTGTTATATTAGTGGGTGGAATCACCCAAACAAAGATAGTGAACGCCGTGGCGTTTAGGTGTTGAGCTGTTGGTGATGCTTGATCGGCGCAATGTGTCAGTCGAGCTCCAACTGAGGGTGATATGAGGAGGGGCAGCTCTGTGGTTTTACTTGTTGTGTTGCATAGTTAGTTTCGGCCGTCAGCAAATAGTGAAAAATATCTATCTACCTATCTCTCTCTCTCTCTCTCTCTCTCTCTCTCTATATATATATATATATATATATATATATATATATATATACAAAGGCAAAAATGCGTACTGTCAGAGTTACTAATTCGAAGTTTACTACGACGTTTCGAGCGGGCACCACTCTTCATCACCTAATGAAGAACGGTCCCCGCTCGAAACGTCGGAATAAACTTCGAATTAATAACTCCGACAGTACGCATTTTTGACTTTATATATATATATATATATATATATATATATATATATATTTTTTTTTTACTAATACAATGTCTGGACATTTACACTTACCAAGTAACCATTTTCAGCTGTGATTTGAGACCGTGTTGCGCTTATCCCGCTCTTATTTATTTATTTTTTGTTTCTCTTGTATCTGGCCTTTTTAGTATAGGCTTCCACCAGCTCGCTTGCGCGTGAACTCTAATTTCAAGTGAAACAAGTTTGTAAATTAGGGCGACACTATATAGGTTTGAAATCCTATACCCATTTTATTGCCATTTGGTGAGCCACGTACGAATTTTGAAATATATCTTTTCATCCAAATAATCGATTAGTAAATCGAATAGCGATTCGGACGAATTTACTACGGCGGGGAGAACGAATTTGCCAATCTCATGGCAATTAGGAAATTTCAGCCATCCTTGGTTTCCGATTGGTCGCGCTCAGTACTCCCTCCGCACAGAGTAGCCTCGAGTCAGAATTCGCGGAGTCTCTACTGACCGGCCAAAAAAGTGCGGCGCTTCAACTGCTCCCGCCCAGACGACTTGATGTATTTGTATACGCCCATGACATCGGCCGCGATCGGCGATTGAGGTTCCGTTAGCCGACGCAAGCGTCAGCGGACGTCTCATATTTCCATACTCTCATTTAACTACAGAAACAAAAACATCAACAAAAAAATCATCCAGTTCATGCTCACTATGTTCACCACTGACAAGATAGTCGGTAGTTTACGAGTTTCCGTGCAAAGCCGATCAAAACGAGGCACCAGATCAACTTTTACGGTTGCCATCAGGAAAGATCTGGCTTGTCGCGTTCCCTCAACGTCACTCCGAATATTGTTTGTGCCCCACGCACCATCCTCTTGTAGCAATATTTTTATTGTCCCCATGTGATTTCTTTTTTATGTTCTTACTGGTGTTTGATCATAATTCGGTCATTGAAATAGTTTTTGCTGCCGACCCTACCATTATTTTGACCCTCTGGCAGCAAAGGAATATTATGCCGGCATTACACACGAAATAAGAATGTAGACACTCCGTCCCATATCTCAAATTACATCACAACGTGTTTACACAACTGTAGTGCAGAGGTACGATGAGCAGGGTCTGAGAAAATATTAGTTTCAGTATTTTCAAAAGAGCGACGAAACAAAATAAAGAAAGGACCGCCAATCGGCAGCGCGTGCAAGCAGAGGTAGTAGTGACAGGAAGCGCGAGGTGTGTCTTTCGTACGGCCGGCATCAACTTACGCACTGTCCGAAGATGTAATCTGTTTTACTCGTAGGATTGCAACGCTGCGGAATGTAGGCGTGTGATTTCAGAAAGCGTGTCCTACCATTTCTACGCGCGAGTGCTCCTGCAACCCAAGCATTGTATACAGTTACGTCCTCGCGCCCGTGCCTTGGCCAGCCCCGTACACAACTTATGCAGTATCGAAAAGGCATAGTTCAAAATTGACGGTCCCACTTTTCCATACCGCTTCAAAACCCCATCTCGCTCAAATCACTTGGCAGCGGGACAATTTTGGCAGGGGGCCTCAAGTTGGGGATTATCCGGTACATTGTCCTCCCAACAATGAACGTGGGCGCGACGCGCCAGAGGGTGAACACGTGAAAGGAGGGGCGTAAGAGTGGAGAAGGAAACTCAAGGTCGCAAGCGACGGGAAAAAGGGTTTCGAAATTGGCGCGCAGGTTTTGCAGCATTTGCTCATACGGACAGCCAACGCCGCCCTGGTGGTTCAACTAATGTTTTGTTCAAGATGGCCGCCGTGGTACCGCAGCCCCCGCGGAAAAGGGCACCCCCCCCCCCCCCCCCCCCCCCCCCCGCGGGAGTTCCACAACTGAGGTAATTAAGTAACGTTGCTACGCCCGTGTCGTGACGTCAGTGTTAATGGGTGTTATGCAGCCGAGCTGATGAAAACGTAAGTTGATGAGTTTTTATCGTGGATTTCGTTAGCGGTAAAGGATAAAGTCCGAAATGTTTCAACGGAGCGCGTGACTCTCCTTGAAGGAAGGAAGATTTTTTCTCACCGGTGAGGCCGTCCTTGTCCGTGGCCGAAACATCCGCTCCGGCGTTGACGAGTGCTAAGATGGCGTCGCTACTACCCGAAGAGCAGTACGTCTTGCTGGGACGAGTTTCTGCGGGATGATATACAGGGTGTGTTTTTTCTCAAATCAAAACGAAACAAAGTAAACACCGAAAATACGAGAAAAAATCTTCAGAATAATGGTATCGACTGTGGCGGACATCAGGTTAACGGTGTAAAGTGACAGTTATCAAATTTGTTACCTAAAATCCACCAATTGGCTTAAAAAAATATTTGGCACATTTAATTTAGAGATGTGTTACCGTTCGTCCAAAATGGGATGGCAGTTTGTTAGAATTTGGATAACTAAATTTAGTCGTTTAAATTCTAACGACAACTTCCGTAGAATATGTTGAGGAAGAGCAACACATTTCTAATTTAATTGTGCGAAATGTAGCTAATTTTCATAAAGGTAATGATTAGTTTTAGTCAATGATTTTGCTAATTGTCACGTTACGCTCTCTGCTTGAAATCCCCCGAGGATCGTAGCGTTATCCTCAAGGAAACATTCCTTTTTACCAGTGTCCCTTTTTTAAATTAGTTTCCCGCTTATAAAGGAAACAACTCTTTATATATCATTGTTTTTTAAAATTATTTAAGGAGGTTTAGTCAGGCCTTGTAAAAGTAATGGAGTAATTTGTAAGGAGATAACCTTACCAGGAAACTAAAGAAAGATCACTGTTCTTTGAAAGAACAAACAAACAATAGCCTATGCGTTGGGTCGAGTTGTATTATCCCCATAAGGGGAACCAGAAACGTACATTAAACGTCGTGATTGGTCCTCATATTGCTTGTTTTTACTCAGACACACATTCGTGTAATTGAAGTCACTCAATGTCACAGAGCCCCGAAATTCTTCGCAGGTTTCTCCACATTCCTAAGACGGTGATATGTATTGTACACACTAAAAAAAGGGGTGTAGCCCTTACACCCCTTGTCACATATACGACACCGCAAAACTTCAGTTGGACGTCCAACGCACTGACGTTGAACAGACGCTACCAACTTTCACGAGCCGCTTCATAACCGAGATGTCCAAGATGTCCAACCGAGATAGTAAATTTGACTGTCTGCAAACAAAGTAACCGGGGTTTTCTTGGCCCTCCTTCAAAACCTCAGTTTTTCTTTTTTGTAGTCTTTGATACGTACTGGAGCTGTTTAATACGTTACATCGCACCATCATAGAGCCTCTCGTAAAAGTTGGAGCGGTCAGTTGGGCGGCAGTGCGTTGTACATCAAACTGAAGTTTTGCGGTGTCGAGTATTTGATATTTTTTCCCTCACATTTTTTGATTCAAGTGAAGCCCTGTTCTCAAACTTTCGCGTTGGCGTGAGGTTCTCCCGGAATTTCAGCTTTCTGCGAGGCGTTGTTTATATTGCGGGCCGAAAGGCCCCGTTACATTTTCTCAATTGACCTCTGTAGTTTCGGTTTGGTGTGGATTGTAGCTTGTCTTCGGTTTGAATATTGTCTACGGATAGTGTGCCACCGAATGTCCGTTCATTCTAAGGCTCCTCGTGAGAATCACCCAACAAATACATGAAATATACCTTTTAAGAAAGAGAGAAAGGGAGAAAAAGTGAGGGACCACAAAAATAAAAAAAAGCCAGGAAAAATGGTAGTGAGGAAGAGAGAGAGAGAAAGAACGATATTAATTTTGGAGCGAGTTTTTAAACCAAGAGAAATGCAGTCGAGATGAATAGTTATACAGGCATTTATTTCTAAAGCTGTCCCATGTTGTTGCAGTTGCACTTAGAAAAGGCCACCTTGTGGCTGTGACGTCACGCTGCTGCGGTAGCGCTGCTGTCGTCACAGAGTGCTGGAAAACTTCACTCGAACGTGGCTTCAGCGCACATCTGTGATCGCACTTGACGAACGGGGACTTGTTTGGAAACGGTGCCTACGGGACGTTCTGAATTTTACTTAATCCAGAATTTAAGACTTTCGTTCTTTTAGTCCTGTGGACAAAAGGATGACCATGGCGGTCATGATTAAAAAAAAAAAGCGAGATCGGTTGGTTAGTTAAGTAACAAAATATATTTAAAATACTTTTTAGATTCTAATTCTCAGGGACACAAGAAACTTCAAGAATTGCCACTCTACCACACTAGAGCCTAGACCTGTCGTAACATTTTGTTAAAAAAAAAAGTTTGTTGTGATTGCTACGGGGCGAGAAATGCAACCCTCGTACACGGTTCCAAAGCGAAACCAGGCGCACAAAGAGCGGTGCTGTTGCAGCTGGTTCCGTTTGCATTCCGGCGAAGGGCGGATGAATCAACGGCACGTGCGCTCTTTGGGGTGCAAAGCTCTGTTGTAGGCTGACATTGTTCGCCCCGTAGATGTCACTGCGGATTTTTAATGAACATTTAACATCACGGCAATACAATATTGAAGTCAAACGTCAATTCTTTGACGTTCGATTTTATTTAGACTTTTTTTTTAGTGGCCGCCATGGCCACCAAATTGGCCCTTGGGCTAAGTAAAGCCAACCGCAAGTTCCCTTAAAAAATTGGACGGACTAAAAATTGTTTTGGTTTTTTATGTGAATTTAGTGGAAGTATGTCCCCGCTACGTTTAGCAAGAAAATTATGAAGTAAAGTTATTGACACTCTAGCTACACCTGACATTGTGACGTCGCGCAATATTATGACGTCACACAACACCATGGCGCTACAAGCCACTGCGACGGCACATGAAGAAAGTGACGTTACGCTACATTGTGAAGCCACGCGGTGAAACCAACACGAGCGAGAAAGGTCCGTGAAGGGTTCACCCTATAGAGCTATCGCTTTAGAGCCCCCTGCGCGCTTCAAACTTTGTGCAAGTCGAACGGTCACCCGATCCCGACCGAGTCTCACCGACGCTGGCCGCCCAGAGTAAGGGAGGCCTGCCGTCCTGGTCCCGGACGCTCACATCGACGCCCAGCTGGATGAGCCTGCGCAGTGCGGCCAGCCCGACCCGGACGTCGTTGCCCATCTCGCTGTTGGGGCCGCACATCTGGGCCGCGTAGTGGATCGGGTACGCGCCGTGGATGTCCGGGGTCGACGGGTCCGCCCCGGCAGCCACCAGGATGTCCATGCACTCCAGCTCACCGCACACTGGGAAACGGACGGCGGTTGGGCGCATCGGCGGAAATGGTCGACGGAACACCCGGCCCAGCTAGGATATAATAGGCCTGAGGCGCTCAGGTTTGGGGAGCGTCTCTGGCAAGCAAACTCGAATATTTTTGTCGGTCGCTCTATGGTGGTGTCTCATTTCATTTTTTGCACGTTGCTCGCGGACGCTAAGTTGGCAGAATTTTCTCGGTGTATATAAATTTGTAAAAGAAAATAACGAAACGAGAAAACTGTAAGAAAACCATTAATATCGTTCTAATACAACACAAAAGCGCGAGCTACGTTTTTTTGTATTTACGCTATTTTTTTTAGATGTTCTGTTACCCTTCGTAGACATATGCTGATACACGCTATTAAGCGACAGTAGCTCGCGCATGATTGAACGCAGCAGCGCCGTTTTATGCTCGATTATAGCCTCCGATATGCTGACAAAGCCTGGTAGATCGCCACGGGAAGCGTCCGCGGAAATGAAAAAGGTGGAGCGGTAGACAACGGATGAGAGGAGAGCCACGTGACTGGCGCCCCGCTGCGGCGAGACGCCGAAACACACTTCTCCCGAGCGAACAAGTGTGTTTCGAATTTTCGACACCGCAAAAGCTGTGCGCTGGCGGCCAGGTTCCCCTAAGGCCTTAGGTTCTCCGAGAAATGGATTTTTAATGCTTTGTGCGACCAGATCCTCGCACTCTAAATCTGCGACCGGGCACTCTATGCCTCCGTCGTCGAACTGCCAGGTTGTGAGTATAGAGGAGGCTATGGCTCGACACATGCATTGCATATTCGCGTATTACGCCTTGTCATATGAACGCGCTTGCTCCCTCTGGCCGAGAGAAGCAAACCTATAGACAGGGTCGTTCTATGCCACTGCGAAGAAGGGGGATTAAGAAAGGCAGGTCGATACGAACACCGAAGTACAAATCAAAGAAACATGAAGACAACAAGCCGCACCCTCTGTTTCCTCGGCTGTCAGTAATTCTGGTAGAGGAAGTTTAGTTTTACCGATCTCATTTTTTTACTTACGGCACTACATCAGTTCATGTTACGCTCCCAGACAAAAGGATAAAAAAATGTATTTTTTGCCTTTCTTTAAAAGGAGTCTACAAGTGGAAACTTAATTATTATGGTGCTTTAAAGGACTTCTGAAACGATTCACACCAAATATTTGAGCAAGAACTTATATAGCGCCGCGGACAAGCACGAGCAGAAGTGAACAGGATGGGCGCTAACTAGCAACCGGCAATTTAATGCACTATAAGGAAAGGGCAAGAGGGACATATTTTGTAGTTGTGAAATAAGGGATAAAGAAAGAGTGCCTTGGGTATGCACTGTACACTTCTACTAATCTTTGTCTGTAACGCTATTAGTATTTTTTCATGATTACCTAACTTTTTTTTATAAAAAAAAAGACAGAAATAGTTAACATGCCGGCACCGCTTAATTAACCGAAACGCAATAAAATACTCGTAGGGTCTCCATCTTCTGCGTTCATACCTGACCGCTTATTATCTCTCAAGAGGCGGAAAGCGAAACATTTCAACAGCACCCGACGGCCCTCCGTCTATCATAAGCTCCCTCCAAAACTGACTCCTTTCTCATGCTGAGACCTGAAGAGCCACTGGTCATTGTTGCTTCCAATGACGCGCCAACCATACGCAAGAAATAAAGGGTTAGAGGCAAGTATGGTATGGATTATATCATTCTGAGCCCCCTCCAGTTCCCCCTTTGAAGTAGATGATGAATCTATCGTCGGGCTATTTTTTATGAAACCGGAACTCGCCTGCCCGTGCGATTCGTGGTTTCTAGATTTCGTGAAGAACATAGATTAAGTCCAAGTCAAACAACTCTTTGGTGAACCATTATGCGAGTCAACCAAGAAGACAAGGCCTACCCATTACGTTATCGTTAGTGGATCACGCACCTGCCACAAGCGGGAAACACGCTGAAGCTAGCCGACAGTTTGCAGCAAAGCTCCACAAGCCGGAATGTTGGCGTCAACGAGCTCCACGCAGCGTTACACTTGCTGTGAGACACTCAATGGCTGACAAGGTGAGAACGACAGGGAGGACTCCAGGCCGCTCTAGTTCTATGCCAAATACATTCCACTCCTCTCAAATACAATAGCCTCGGCGCGTACATGTTTTCTGGGCTTGGCGAGAGCCATCTATTGCCGGGGAGGTCTCAGCTACCGGGCAGTAAATGGTGATGTTTATGATGGTTGTTCAACATACCATATTTATTGTTGTGGAAATGCTCGAGATACGTGCCGCGCGCCGCTTCTAAGAAGAACATGGCGTCTGAAATCTAGCTTAGTGCTGCGCCGTGCCTAAAGTGTACTAGAATACTTGGGTCTAGTACACTGTAGCTGCGCCGCGATGATCTTCCCAAGGGCTGCACGGTGCACGTCCCTCGTACACTGACGCACCTTGCGCTACTTTTAAAGCATAAACGGCTTTAACGAGAAGCCGAAAGGAAGGTAGAAACGCTCGCGTTGATGGCGGGACCAATGAAAGACGTCACTGTCATTTTTATCCTGTCAGTCACCATGCGGAGCGCAAGTGGTCTGCTTCTTGCGCAGGAGTTGCGTTAACATCAGAACGACGCGAAACCCTTTTTGACCGACTGAAAAAAAAAAGCGTAGATTTTAATGCTAGATATTTTGAGGTCAACCCACTATTTTTTAGAGCGCAGCTCTTAGGCGCCCGTTTCCGGCTTGAGCGGTGTCGGCGTCGGCGTAACCGCGCGTTGCATTATGGGACGTTTGCCATCATGACGTCACTTGTAACATCACGTGTGACGTCACTTGTGACGTCACCGCGCGTTGTAATATGAGTAAATTTCCCCGCTAAATATAACTGAAAAAGTTTCCCGCTAATTTTAGTGGAAAACGTTCCACGCTAACTTTAGCGGAAAAGTTTCCCGGCTAAAATTTAGCGGAAAACATTCCCCAGGTAAGGGTACGGATAAGGAGGGGGCATACTCTCCTCTCCGCACTTTCCCCTCGCCCTCAAGAGCTGCCCTCGAATTCGGCGTTACAGGGCATTGTAAACGTCTTTCATATATTTTTTTTCAATCCTTCAATAAGAGCTTGGCGTTGTTCGGACGTCACTGCAACTCCTGCGCAAGAAGCAGACGACTTGATCCCCGCATTTGTGGCGAGATGTTTTGGTGACGCCCTCTACGGTTCCCTCTCGTGACGTCATTACCTTGCGAACCAGTTCGATGGTGTTTGTAATGAGCATGGTGGAAGCTTGAAATCATTGCGCTCTCAAAGCAACATTGCCGACGCCGTCAAAATAAAGTTCTTCCATTACTCTTATTTCCGCCGATGAGAAACCCTTTGCTGAGGTCATAGTCAGCATTCGGCCAATCGTGGAAGGCCGACCGCAGCGACGCGTTCGATCGCTCACGTCGTCAATACAACTTTTCCGCAAGGTCGTCGCCATCTTGAATATCGCCACTTCCAGGTTGGGCGAGAAAATTGTCTTTCGGACCGCCACGCTATGAGGAAGACATTAGGGAGTTTTCGTAGATCGTTTTGGTGGTCGCGCAACGCTCTCCTCAACCCGCTATACGATACCCGAAACTTTACGGCCAAGGCGCTGTAGCGGCAGGCAGGCGCAGTAGCGGCTTCTTCGTTGAGGACGCTTGGCTTAGCGGTGGGGCAAACACGGTCTATGAAACGCCCTATACAGGAGGTAAGCTTAACCGTCACCCATTGTCGTTTTGATTCACCTCTGTATTTTTACTCTCTGCAGGTTGAAATGTTTCATTATTCTTTCGTCGCCCATATCGGAGGACAGTATGTGTACCAGATGGCTGGGGACGAGAGTAAACATAAAAAGGTCCATACACCAACTCAAATCTGTTACGTCACGCCGCGAGGGTGGCGCTTCGGGCGCACTTCCAGCCTGGGTGTCTGGGCGGAAGTCGCAATGCGGGACGGGTATTCCTGTTCTGTTTTGGAAGGAACCAACATGGAGGCCTGTTTTCTCATGAAAGCGCCGGGACTGGGGCCAGCACCTCCTAGATAAGAAAGCGTAAGTGCGTTCCCACGTCATTAAAGAAGGCCGCTGTAAGACACAGATTGGACACGACTATAGAGTCAGCGTTCGGCTTGAAGTCGTGTCCAATCAGTGAGAACACGACTCCTAGCAAAACACCGACGCTCTAGTCGTGACCAATCTCTAGCCAAAGGTGACATTCCTTAATGACGTAAGAAAGTTCGCATCTTAGGCTTTTTTTTTTATCTAGGAGGTGTTGCTGGGACCGTACCAAAAGCATCGGGAAATCTGTGAATATCAGTTTTATCTGTTTTCTTGCTGCACAGTCCATCCGGGAACGTGAATAGGTGCCGTAAAAAAGGGAAAACCAGCCACCGTCGGATCACAGTTGCTTGTGCGGAAAGCAGTTCTGTTAAACTCACAGATACTTAAAGTCTAAGGTCGTCAGATTATTTTTTTTTTTGTTCCAAAATGAACGCGGGAAAGCCGTCAGGGTGTCCGGACCATCCGCGGTCTCCGTTCAGTGCTTCACGTCCGAACTGCCGTCTGATCGGTCAAACTGTCATTTTCTCTCTCGAACTCGTTTATACTGTCGCCTGCTCGTCCGAACGATAGCGGTCCGTAGACCAAATGCATACCCAATAACTGCGATAAGAAATAAGAGCAGGCCTCAAACGACTTAAGTTTGGAGGTTATTCGGGGTAAGTAGACTCGATGTAAACAGTAAATACAAGGAGATGTTGATTATTGTTACCAGTGGCCATTACCGACTTGTTATGCCCAATTCACTTGGTCTGATTCTGCTTACGATTTTCTGTATTGACGTCGAGTATCGCAGCTGCTACCGTGCACGCTTTTGCAGCCCGAGCGACTTCGAGGCTGAAAATTGCGAGCAGAATCTCATTGTGTGAATCAGGCTTTCGCGTCCATTCTGCGGCGTTCACGCGAAATAAAATCACCGCAGGTCAGATTATTTACGGAAAGTTTTGCGGTGTAACGTGCCTCGTTAATTTCGCTCAGGTCACTAAACTAGTAAGGAATTGCCAGGAAGACGTAGAATCAACAATTCTAACGGAATAAAAGAGCACGGGGTGTCACACCAACACCGACAGTGTCACATCCGAATGGTGTGTTGACGCGACGCTAAGGCGCGCTTCTTGCCCACTCCCCATCGTGCGCCGGTGGCATGCCGCTAGGAGCTCTCCAGTTTGTTTGGAAACATGAGTTGGTGTATACTAGTCTTCTTTGCGGTGATGACGACACGACCTTGTTTAGGCGTTGCTGAATTGATTCCCCAGCGACGTTAGCTGAGGAAGACTGCAGGCGTTATCTATCAGGTGATATTGGTTAGGGTGACCTGATCCAATCAATCGCTTCCGGAAATCGCCAATTCAGGAGGTTCTATATTCGGTGACAGGTTAAAGGGGCACTGAAGTCGATTTTGAGATCGTCCTTTTGTGGTGACAACTTAATCTAGACGCTCTAAGCATCCCAAGAAACCCAAAATCACAATCATACGTAGCTCATTTACTCGTTAAACGGCAACTCCGCTCAATTTCGAAAAACTCAGGCTTACATGTGATTCCATTTCGCAAAGTACTATAAACAGCTCTACGTCCTCGGATTCACGAAATGTGGAATATTATTTGTGTAATCTTAATTTAAACATCAGCTGATACTGAAACCGAAACTTCAGTTGCGTCAGGCACCATTGGTCTCGTGTCGTTAGAGTCATGGCAACGTCACGTCGAACCACGTGGTCTTGTGACGTTCGTGGGGACGAGAGACAGGACACGCGACACGGGCAGGTCGATGGCCCAGGGGAGAGGGGGAAGGGGAGAAGACGAAAGAGGAGAGAGGGAGCGGAGAAACAGACCGATAAGCGCGCAGGGCAGCGCAAACTAGCGCATCCGTGTTACGGTGATCATGTGGACGCCGTTCAGCCAACACCGGGAGGAGAAACTCATGACGTCATCGTTCAGTTTAGCTCTGAGAAGTAAAAACAAACAAAACGTGAGAATGACGTAGTCATGCCTCTGACGTAGTGGCTCAACGTTGGCCGCTCCAACTCCGTCGCATTGACTCCGATGACGATTGCGCCTCACGTCGCAAGCTAGAGTGGGCAGATTTCGGCGACTTGGCTGATTTGAAAGTTTGCTGGACAATTTATTGAATATATACACGGAATTAGATCATAATATTTGACATGGGCTCTTCCTATATGATACTGAAGAGGCCTACATAGTTTTCTAAATATCAAGAATGAAGCGCAGTTGCCCTTTAAAAGTGTGTTCAAAAATCGCGACACGCCCTTTTTGGGAAGAATGTTCTTCCGAGTTAAGTGGTCGACGAAGGGCTCTTGTTGGCGAGTTTCAAGCTATGACTTTGCCCGCGGAGAAAAAGTGGAGTCTTACCCGAATGTGTACCTATCAGACTCTCTTCGAAACAAGTCATAATAATATTATTCGGAATCTGCGCGTATTTTAGGGCTTTCATTGGCCCACACAATGTAGTCCGCGTAAGAAAAGAGTTCGCATGTTTTCGTATTGCCCTGAGATGAACAGGCGGTTTTGTAATATAGGGCTTGGTATATGTGGGAACTAACACATTTAAAACAATACAAGGTCAAAAACGACCTTTTCAAAAATGACTTCAGTGACCCTTCAAGTGTGAAATGGAAGCTTGTCCCATTTCTTTTCACTTTAGCAGAGCAAGCGCTAGAGAGGAGGCGACAACGTCTCGAGCGTTCGCTCTGCCAAAGTAAAAAGAGGTGGGAGCAGCTTCCATTTTACCCTTAACCTGGCACCGACAATCGTATGGAAATGCGTGAACACGTGCTCAAGCGTGCGCGGGCATTCCCTCGACTAAGCAAGCTAGATCCTGCTGGCTCTATCAGCTACAGTAACCTAGATTGGGCTCTTCCAAATTATTTGTTGTGCCTAGTGTGGCTTATCTGTTTGCCCCCAGTTCGTTTACGCTTCCTCACTCTCCTTCCTAAAGGCCCGTTCACTCACTGGCCTTTGCTTTTGACCGAGCACGCTAGCGCCATCTATGAGGTGATCATGCAACCACAATGTACCAGAGCTAAGGTTTTGCAGTATTTGCAAGACTAAAGACTAAAGGTACAGTGGCAATCACACTTGTATATAACGTGCGGCAACTAATCTACTCACGTAAGAGAACATGAAACAACCCGCTTCAGGGGTGTTCTGCCCGCCCATACCGGGGCCTGCGTGGTCGCCGAACGCGGGAGGCTGCTATCACGCTCTTTGCAAATGTCATAAAGTCTCATTAATAAAAGAAAAAAAAAGTCAAAGGGTTTATCAACAATGTCACCAGCAAGAAGAAATAGTCTGCAAAGCTGTGCCTTTAAAAGTATTCCCCACAACTCTTATCAAGTCGGCGTGGTGTGTGTCGGCGGTCCCCGAAGGGGCGGGCAGGACACCCCGCGTGCAGATGTTCCATGTTGCCCCGCGTGACTAGATCAGTTGCCGCGAATGCCACCAGTCGAGCGCCCGCCAGAAAAAGCCGCGCGATGCCGCGTTATGGACAAGTGCGATTGCCACTGTAAGTACTATTCATAGGAAATTATCGCTTAGAATGTCGTCTAACGTTTTTCAAACCAAGATGATGCGCGAAAGATATCGGAAATGGGTCGATGGAAACACGTTTATTAAAACCACATTAGTTCGGGCGGTTGTGGTTTGGCATGGCCCTTTTAGGGAAAGGGTGTAATCAAAAGGTCTCTCAGATACCTGTCTTCTCGGAGAAGAAAAGAAACGAAACTGCCAAGTGTTTCACGGCCACACGATAGATGGCGTTAGGGTGTTCCATCGACGTAAGAAGATTTCGGAACTCGATGGTAAGCACTCGCAAGTGTGTGAAAGAGCCTCGATGCTCCCATTGTTTTATCCTGGGATTTCCCGAATCCCGTTTTCCGCCGGGTGGTACCAGTCACTTCTGGAATGGTGGATTGCTACGAGGATAACGCTTACCGGTGGCCCAGTGGACGCAGGAGTGCTTCTCGTTGTCCAGGACAGACACGTCTGCTCCCCGGTCGACCAGGAAGCGCACCATCGTGCGGTTGCCCGAGATGACCGCGAAGTGGAGCGTCGTGTAGCCCTCTTCGTCCTGGACGGACGCCAGGCCGGGCTCGACCATGAGCAGCAGCTCGGCGCAGCCCACCGTCAGGTTCTCGGCGCAGTAGTGCAACGCTGTCTTGCCGGACTTGTCCCGCGCGGCAGTTAGGGACGGCTGGACAGACATGCGAGACGGACGTCACTGCCTTGGTTCGCTCACTGCTTTGGGGAGAAGAGAGTGATTTAAGTCCGGTTCACGTATGCGGCAAAGCGCTGAGACAACGTGAAGACTGGCCGTCAGCACTAAGTCAGCGCTGAGTTAGCGCAGCACTGTTTGTTGAAAAAGCCGGGTGACGGCGATAAAGCGGTGAAAAGCACTGACGGCGGTGATGAAGCTCCGAGAGCGCGAAGTCAACAGTCCGCAGCATTGTTAGCGTGCTTTGGTGCGTGTGTGAGCAGGAGTTGGTTCACACACGCAGCGCATAGCCGAGGTTGTTCAAAGTCGGCGCTGGATTTGAGTTGCATTGCGTGTGCAAACAGGAAAAGGCCGGGTCGGTCGCAGCCGAGTTCTGCGACATTGTTGATATAGCGCAAAGTCAGCGCAGTGTCTATGGCGCTGCGTTAGATCTCAGTGGAATGTGCGGACAGGCTTTTAGTTGATGCGATAGATATTTCGCGAAAATCCCCAAAGGCGCAACGAAATATGGGAACGTACATGTACGTTTCTCCTTGCCCCCGCAACATCTAGCACGTGACATTGAAGAGAAAGGAACAGAGACAGGGTAGCGCAGCTACTCGCCTGCCTTGACGCGCTTGCCTGCCCATCCTCAGTCACCTCCAATACCGCTTCCGGTGTTTGCGACAGCTGAGTTTATATAGGCGGTCCCCGGCATTTTTCTTGGGTGCTGGGTATAGGCGGTAAACGCTTTACGAACGCTTATTCGTACAATCCGCTCGACATTGAGTGGTCGGAGCGTTCTTCAGCGTCGGACTTCTGGTGTCATCAAAGTTAGCGCAGTGGGACGCTAACACTAATACTATACATGAAGGATGTTTAAACTGGAACAACTCTTTGGTTACTTGTTGAAATCGAGAGTGAGATTTTTGGTCACCAGTAATCAGGATGCCCAGGGCTTGAAACCCAGCATTCCAACATTTATTTTTCTGCTTCCTTATATAACTATTCGATGTGTGCAGTTTATTTATTTGCATATTGAAACGCTGTTTTTTATTCATATAGAGCCAGTAGCATTTCACTATTTTACTTATTATTATAAGTACAATTAAAATCGATTGTGTCAAAATACTTGTTCGCTACAGGCGACGCTTAAATTAAGAATCACAATTTGATTGCTCGTTTGCTCAAATGTTAATATTTTCGGCATAATTTAATAGGGATACCGAATAACTACAATCAGGGATGTACTCGGGCAATAGCGCTTTTTTTGGAAACAAGTGGATGCGGGAATTTAGTTTGCTAAACCCAACTGTTCTTCATTGAAAACCAGGTATAACGTTACCCACGTTTACAATATTTTATATCTCATTGAATCAATATTTATTGTAAACTGTTCCCATAAGTAAGTTCTAAAATTATTAACGACCTAAAAGACAAAATATAGACTCTTCTTAAAGCCGCAGTCCCACTGCTCACACATTATACAAAAGACAGTCAGTGCAAACACGAGTCAGGGCAACATCCGTGATTCGAATGCCGTGTGCCAAGTTTGTCCTTGAACCATGCGGCATTCGAAGAACGTATCATGTGGTGATTTGCGTTCGATTCTGTTCGCAGACTGTCTTTTGTATGATTTAAAGTAATGTGACCCCGCTTAACGATTTTAACAATACACAACCTTGGGACGTGATTACGAAGCCTATATATTTTACATCTAGAGCCCCAAAGAATCAACCATAAATAAAATTGTTTTGATTCCGCTCATGCAGGAATAAGTATTTGGTATAGCTGAGAGCTGCCGAATTGAGTGTTGTGATTTTAGAGTGCAGCTCTTAGGCGCCCGTTTCCGGCTTGAAAGGCGTCGCCCTCGCCGTCGCCGTCGGTTTAATTGCGCGGTGCATGATCGGTTAATTTTTCCCGTTAAATTTAGCGGGAAAATTTTTTCGCTAAATTTAGCGGGGAATTATTTTCGCTAAATCTAGCGGGGAAGTATGTCCCGCTAAATTTAGCGAGAAAATTCCCGCTAAATTTAGCGGGGAAATGTTCCATAAGTTTAGCGGGGAAATTTCTTCGCTAAATTTAGAGGAAAAAATTCCCCGATAAATTTAGCGGAAAAGTTACCCTAAATGGGAGGCGAGCGGGAGTGGAGGAGGAACATAGCCTCCTCTCTGTACCTTCCCCTCTCCCTCCTCAAGAGCTGCGCTCTAAATCGGGGTTACAGGGAGTTGTAAACGGCTCTCATTTTCAAAGAGGAGCTGACGTGTGCACAGTTGGGCCTCAGAGCTAAGCACTGAAGCCCCTTAAATGTACAAGCAATCAAACAATATCAGGCTACTCCAAATCTGTCAAGCCTCCTCACCCAGAAGTATATCGTGTACAGCTATTTCGCAAAGTGCGTACAATCCAGATGTACCCCATGCGGGACCTGAACTCCCAGGCTCTTCATTTTTGTACAGGCGAAGTATGTTATACCTCTCATGAAGACTTTTACACTGATCTGTTACAGAAATCTACTCAGCACACATAGTGTAGTGTTCCGTACGTGTTTCCCGCTTTATAATTTTTTCCTTGTAAAATTCGGAGGATCGTTTTCGAAATTCGTCTTGTTAAAGCATTTGGTGTCTGACCTTCTTTTTTTTTTTATAAATTCTAAATTATCATATGACCGAAGTTTAGTTTTAGTGAAATGCTAATTTTCAAAATTTCAGAATAATAATATAAAAAAAAAACAAGACACAAATGCACTCGGGAATGCGGAGTGCGAAAGGTTAACTATCCTCAATTGTATTTAGACAGGGTTTGTCTAGCTAGACGACCAATTGTGATTACAGATGCGCTGCAGTTCCTAGGGCACCCTTCCATTGCTAAAATAAGGTTTGCCTCCCCAGGTACCGGATTCTTCAAAATCGCTGAAATCCTGGTCATGGTCAACTGAGAGTTTTAGGTTTTCTCCCGTCTTTCTGTGGTTCAGGTCTACTCATCGAATCTCATCAAAATCGCAGATGCTGCAGAAAGTTTGTTTTGTGAACTGGCGGGGTGGATGGAAGAATGTAGAAACCTTTGCTGCTGCCCCCTACAGGATCCCTTAGCTTCCACTAAAAAAAAAAAATTCCTTCTAAGAAGCACAAAGGATGTGGTCTGAAGTCTGAGGGGCTACATAGATCACATGTACAGATTGTGGTTACCAAGAAATACAGTGCCCCGTTTTAACGGATGTTGACGAGATTAACCTTATTTTTGTCTCTCGTTTGGGATTCTGCAGTAAACCGGGGAGATCTCTCCTGAGGACCGCTTACCCGCTGCTCCTAAAACCCCTTTATACGGAAAAGTAGCGACATCCTTCGAAGAATGTCGCCTGCTATCTTGGGCCAAACAAGGCTGCACTACAGTCCACGCGCGGGTGTAAAAAAAGCAAAACATAAAGATAAAAGGCGTGCGCGTCAGAGGAGTAGGGACGATGTCGTTACCTTTTTTTATTCAGGGACATGAGGTGCTTCGACACACTCAACAGATGACGAGTAATAATAATTCGAAGCAAAAAAGATAGGTCCGTCACTTTGCCTTTTATCGCATTATTTGAGAAAAAGTTGGAATTCTTGAGCAGATCTGACACCTGAGGGGAGGGGGGGAGGGGCGGTGACTCGATGTTTTTCGATGATCCGTGATGCCTTGTCGATTTGTGTTTTCTTCCAATCAATCAGTTGAGAGTCAATGCTCTGTTCGCACACTTCGTCTTCTTGTCCTCCGTTTTTTTTTTTTTTGCGCTGTTTTATTGTTTGTCCAACTTGGCCCAACTTTCCTCCATATTATGGTATTAAGCATAACGGCGTTGATTACGTCATGCTTTTTTTGTCATTAAGAACCGAAATCACTTTTCGGACAAATTTATATGAACAACAATTTACTGGCGTGTTTTTTGTGTTTTTTTTTAACGCGAAGTCATAATTTGATACGCAAGTTATATTTTTGTTATATAATTTCACTGCTACCTTGAAAACAACTGCGTTCTACACGTCGCTGCACCGGAGTTAAGCAAGCGACAAAATAATAAAGCCTAGATACAATATCTGGGTCCGTATTCTTTGCTCAGCATCATATCTAAACTCGAAGTCTCTCAGCCTCTACAAACATTGAAATAAAATCGGCAAAATAAGTTTATTTTCTGTTCGAGCGCGAATCAATTTTCAAATCTTATTTGAGGTAATAGGTACTGCTTACGTAAGTGGTTAGCTTCCGGCTTATCACCATATCCCAATAGCTTTGAATGAGGCAGCATTTTAATATGAACTAGTTTTAATTTACCCTGATCGTGGTTCTGTCTTTCTTCCGTCTTCTTTCGTTAACAGTTTAAAATAAAAATTAAAAAAAAACAAAAAAAACAGACACAAGCAATATACCTTTTTTTCTGTGTACAAACATAGACCGCAGTTGGCGTCCCAAGCGACTTGCGATCGCTCCTTCTTGGCAGGCCTGTCGAGCTTGCTTATGTGTCCAGTGCCAGAAAGCATAACTGTCACACGAACAACAAAGTTCGAGACTTAAGGAGGGCCTTCGGCTTTACGATTTAACTTCTTGGAGGAGACAAGTCGGTTTACAGGAATATTCGAAGAATTTGAACAGATCTCGCGCTTCTTCGTTCTTTTGCCGTTCGCCCGGAGAATGGGTGGTTAAATGTTTCATAGACATTTCGAGCAGCGGTGTAAGGGTGGGGTTTGTTCATTCTTCTTATTAAAAGGAAGTTCGCCGGGACCTCAAAGACAGGAGCACCGCTTTGTAGCGTCTGCAAGGAAAAGGGTCTATAGGATCTTACTTACAGGGCGTGTTCGCAGGGATCCTTGCCAATCCATGAGCGACAAGGTTTTGGGCAGGGAGAAGTAGAGAGAGTTCCACGCCGTCCTCGCACAACCCGGCGACATATCGCAGACGTCGTTTCGCGCCGTGCCCGGCTTCTAAGTGTATCCACGCGAACACGTCCAGTCACGTGCAGGTTATACCTAACACATCTGTAA